CGCCGGTAACACAAACCTCCAGAAAACCAAAGAAAATCATAGAAAATCTTAAGAAATCTCAAATAAATTTATAGAAATTCGTTAAAAACTTTAGAAATCCCTAGAAAATCTTAGAAATCCCTAGAAAATTTTAGAAATCGCTTAAAAATCATAGAAAATCATAGAAAATCATAGAAAATTATAGAAAATCATAGAAAATCATAGAAAATCATAGAAAATCATAGAAAATCATAGAAAATCATAGAAAATCATAGAAAATCATAGAAAATCATAGAAAATCATAGAAAATCATAGAAAATCATAGAAAATCATAGAAAATCATAGAAAATCATAGAAAATCATAGAAAATCATAGAAAATCATAGAAAATCATAGAAAATCATAGAAAATCATAGAAAATCATAGAAAATCATAGAAAATCATAGAAAATCATAGAAAATCATAGAAAATCATAGAAAATCATAGAAAATCATAGAAAATCATAGAAAATCATAGAAAATCATAGAAAATCATAGAAAATCATAGAAAATCATAGAAAATCATAGAAAATCATAGAAAATCATAGAAAATCATAGAAAATCATAGAAAATCATAGAAAATCATAGAAAATCATAGAAAATCATAGAAAATCATAGAAAATCATAGAAAATCATAGAAAATCATAGAAAATCATAGAAAATCATAGAAAATCATAGAAAATCATAGAAAATCATAGAAAATCATAGAAAATCATAGAAAATCATAGAAAATCATAGAAAATCATAGAAAATCATAGAAAATCATAGAAAATCATAGAAAATCATAGAAAATCATAGAAAATCATAGAAAATCATAGAAAATCATAGAAAATCATAGAAAATCATAGAAAATCATAGAAAATCATAGAAAATCATAGAAAATCATAGAAAATCATAGAAAATCATAGAAAATCATAGAAAATCATAGAAAATCATAGAAAATCATAGAAAATCATAGAAAATCATAGAAAATCATAGAAAATCATAGAAAATCATAGAAAATCATAGAAAATCATAGAAAATCATAGAAAATCATAGAAAATCATAGAAAATCATAGAAAATCATAGAAAATCATAGAAAATCATAGAAAATCATAGAAAATCATAGAAAATCATAGAAAATCATAGAAAATCATAGAAAATCATAGAAAATCATAGAAAATCATAGAAAATCATAGAAAATCATAGAAAATCATAGAAAATCATAGAAAATCATAGAAAATCATAGAAAATCATAGAAAATCATAGAAAATCATAGAAAATCATAGAAAATCATAGAAAATCATAGAAAATCATAGAAAATCATAGAAAATCATAGAAAATCATAGAAAATCATAGAAAATCATAGAAAATCATAGAAAATCATAGAAAATCATAGAAAATCATAGAAAATCATAGAAAATCATAGAAAATCATAGAAAATCATAGAAAATCATAGAAAATCATAGAAAATCATAGAAAATCATAGAAAATCATAGAAAATCATAGAAAATCATAGAAAATCATAGAAAATCATAGAAAATCATAGAAAATCATAGAAAATCATAGAAAATCATAGAAAATCATAGAAAATCATAGAAAATCATAGAAAATCATAGAAAATCATAGAAAATCATAGAAAATCATAGAAAATCATAGAAAATCATAGAAAATCATAGAAAATCATAGAAAATCATAGAAAATCATAGAAAATCATAGAAAATCATAGAAAATCATAGAAAATCATAGAAAATCATAGAAAATCATAGAAAATCATAGAAAATCATAGAAAATCATAGAAAATCATAGAAAATCATAGAAAATCATAGAAAATCATAGAAAATCATAGAAAATCATAGAAAATCATAGAAAATCATAGAAAATCATAGAAAATCATAGAAAATCATAGAAAATCATAGAAAATCATAGAAAATCATAGAAAATCATAGAAAATCATAGAAAATCATAGAAAATCATAGAAAATTAAATCATTGGAAATCATAAAAAATCAAATCATTGGAAATCATAAAAAATCATTGGAAAATCATTGGAAAATAATAGAAAAACAAAAAAAATGATGGAAAACTAAAAAAGGTAGAAAATCGTAGAAAAATTATAGAAAATCAGAGAATTTTAAAGAAAATCATCTTTTTTATTATCTTGGGTCTTCACTGCTCTCTGTATGATTTCTAAGTATTCTTCAGTGCTCCTCCAAAGTTTAGGCCTTTTTGGCCTCTCGTATCAATAAATTTTTTGATTTTTTATGATTTTCCATGGATTTCTTTGATTTTCTATGATTTTCTACGAATATTCGACTGTCTGTCATCCTTTCAACGTTTCGCTCTTCCGCTTCTTCTTCAGCTTCTCCAGTGGTTTCTTTTTCATCTTAGGTCTACACTGTTGTCTTTATGATTTCTAAGTATTCTTCAACGTCTCCTCTCTGTCTTTCCTTGTCTGTCATCTACCCTATTTATACGTCATCTCCTATCAGTTGACATTCTTTACCATGTATAGGTTGCATCATGTATAGTGCTAGCAATATAAATAGAATACTTCTGAAGCAGAAGATTTTCTTGAGATTTCTCTGATTTTCCAAAGATTTTCTACTGTTTTCTATGATTTTCTATGGATTTTCTTTAATTTTATTTGCTTTTCTTTTATTTTCTAATGATTTTCTATGATTTTCTATAATTTTCTATAATTTTCTACTATTTTCTATGATATTTTGGATTTTCTAGGGATTTCTTAGATTTTCTGTTATTTTCTAGGATTTATAAGGATTTTCTATGATTTTCTTTTATTTTCATTGCTTTTCTTTTATTTTATTATGATTTTCTAGAGATTTATAAGATCTAGGGATTTCTAAAGTTTTCTACAATTTTCTATGAATTTCTTTGATTTTTCTATGATTTTCTTTAGTTTTCTGGATGTTTACGTTACCATTTTAAATTTTAAGGTATATTATTTAATTCAAGAAAATTAGAATTTTCGTCAATTTCGGATTTTAAAACATTCATAACAATTAAAGGGTTAAAGATACGATAAAGGGCGTAAGGACTTTTTTATTCGAAATATCCCAAAGAATATAAAAAAAATTCATTGCAAAAAATTCATTTTTTCTGGCTTAATTAATTTTTCGTCATTTAAACAATAACATCAACAGATATCGAGTGTCATCTTACACTTTTATAATCAGAAAAGACTTCCGGACATTTAAAAAAAAAATTACGAATTAAAACAATTTTGCAAACGAATGCGCCAATATGCTCTGGTCTAATACTAAAATTGTGCTAAATAATTTTCAGTTTGTCATTGTTACTATTTTCTCTTTTATTGAAAATTTCTTGGTAAATATGAATAGTTTTATTACTTGAGCTAGTATTAAAATAGTTATAATCTTTTTATTCTTATCTAGTTGATTTTTTAGATCTTCCAGCTTCAATCTGGGATAGCTATTAGCAATATGTTATCTATCTTGACCCTATACCCACAATCTTTCGCAAGAAATAACAGATAAAAATTTTCCATCATTACAGCACTTCCTAACCCTTAACACAATTTCATTTTCTATGGCCCTGGGTAACCGATTATCGAGTTTAGTACATAATGTGAAAGTTATGGAGTGAAACGAATCGATAGTCATAGATTGATAAAGAAGAGATGGGATGGAGAAGCTTAATGAACTATGAACGAACAGAACAGAAGGAATGGATGGCGCAGAAGGATGTCGTTGTTCGCGTATCCACTGCGACTCGTTTTGGGCTTCAGAAGGATTACGGTGGCGGGATCGTCCTTAATCGTACTAGCGGTTGATAATTTTTCTCTTCGGCTTTGGAAATGTGGGGTATTTCTTTTAAGAACCGAATCCGCTAAATATATTATACAGAATTAACTTTTTAAACATAAATGTAAAGGTTAGGAAAAATTGTATTCATTTACTCCAACCAGTTCTTGATATATGGAAACAGGAAGAAATCTAATAAAGACAACTCAGTTGAATAAGGGGATTGTCAAAGCTGCTACACATAATTAGGCAATATTTAATTTTTTATTGTTTATGTGATATGAACTGGGAAATCTGTTTTTAAATGACAAGCATTTTTTCACAGATACTTCACTTACTCTCTTTATAATCTATATAAGTAATATATAATAAACATAGGAACAAAAATATTTTGTATTTTTCGTATCACCAAATTTAAAAATATTTTTCAAATCGGAAACCGGCCCTGACCCATGTCAACAGCAAATGCAATTTAACGCTGTTGGAATTGCAGGAAAAACATATTTTGTACAATTTTGGATACCTGCATCTTATTTAAAGTGTTCTCTTTAATGGAAAATTTCCAGTAATTTAAGTACGAGTGCTCTCTTTCACACTCGCAAATCTGTTTCACTCTCACTAACATAAGTTTTGTTAAAATAGATCGTAATACGCAAGAGCACAGGCGCAAGTAACAATACACCATCTTTCTCTGCGGAACCATCGTCTGATGTTTTCTCAGGCAATCACGACAACACACACACAATTGCTAGCTTTTCTGCACTTACATGTGAAAAAGAGACAATGAGACTCATTCCGACTTCCAAAACATTAACACCTTTGCTTTTTATTCAAATCAAAATTAAAAATGTATTAAACATCTGTATTATCAATCATAGAGTTAAGCACTTATATTATTAATAGTTTTAATAAAGTTGTTAACTGTAGAACATATTTTAATTTTATCTTTATCAAATAAGTGTCTCACGAATTACACATTTCTACAAGCTACACTTACTATAGTTCACCAGCACCCAGATGGGAATAAACCCTTATTTAAGTAACAAAAAGACTTACCTTAGATGCATATAAACTTAACGAATAGAACAGAATTTTCCATCGCTACCTTTTTAATTTTTAAATGGTATATAGCAGATAATTACAGCATTTTCTCTAAATCGGTTATAAATATGAAAATATACTCAAATTCCAACAGTAGTTTAAATTAAACTTTTTTTACAGGATGTCATACTAAACCACAACTTAGCAAGTCGCACCATCTTCAGTAACCAAAGTTTGGTTATGCAGAAAGTCACAAGGCAAAGCGCAGGCAGATACAGATGCTCAGTGGTCAATTCAGAAGGAGAAACCGTCAGTGATGAATTGAATTTCAGAGTACAATGTAAGTTTACTTTATTTAAGTCAAATTAAAATGGTTATATTATTTGATAGAGTATGAAAATTTTTAAATATGTTTTCTATTATGAAAGTTTATACATAAAGTCTAACTATTGTATATATATAAAGGAATAATCTTGCAAAAAAATATGTAAAAATCATTTTTTAACTATTTTCTGCTTAAAAATTATTAAATTTTTTAAAATGCAAAGTATCAAAAATCAGATTCCTATAGAGCGTCCTCAAAAATGTTACGTAAACCACTGAAAAAGTATTACTCGCTTTTTGCAAAGCACATCATTTTGTTAAACTTATGAACAAACTAAAATATAAACTGTTATCTAAAGCCAAAATTAATTTTTTCCTGTAAGCCTTTATTGTGATATTTAAAGAGTTCCATACTTTTATCTTTAAATTTTTTGTTAACTTGAAACAATAATTACCTATAAAGAAACATCGTTCATTTAATTCCTGCACTATGTTATGTTGGGAATGGGATGTTAATACACTGCGACCTAAAAGATCTATTGTGTCCCCTTCTATCGCCAATGCACCAAATGTTTCAATGCCTATAACTAGCCTTACAATACTATTTTCTCAAGGAAGTGTAAGATTTGAAGTGCTTCAAGTTAGGTAAATCTCCCTCTTCTATTTGATATCCTCTTAGATATAGTGGATTTTGGAGTGTCACAGATTCAGTTAGGATGTGAATGGAGGTTTCGTCCTCCTCCTCACAGAATCTGTACTCACTATCCTCTACTACTCTCAGTTTACTTAGGTGTTCTTTTAGTGGGCAATGCTCGGTAAGGATCCTTGTTACAATACGTAGCCTGTTCTTGCTCAGGCAGATGCAGGCTTCCGATCTTTTCTGGTTATATTCAGCCAGAAGTATCTTGGCCTATCTTAGTCCCAAGAGATTGTTCCAATTATCGGTTCTTTTATTGCCCAATTCTTTTTAATCTCTCCTAATATTATGTTACTGCTGATACCGCAGAACGGCTCAGATCCTACAAAGGGTGTTTGAGCCCCTTTCCTTGCAATCTCGCTACCCTGTTCCCCGTTATGTCCCGGAACCCAAGTGAGGGTAACTCTATTTTTCTCGTCTAGCTCATTCAATTGTTCTAGGCATTTCCAGACCATTTTTGAACTGATTACGTAAGAGCTCAGAGCTTTGATGGCTGCTTGACTATCGGACATGATGATAATCTCTTGTCTATGATAGTTTCTCTCGATTTTAAACTCGATGGCGTGAATTTCCGCCAGGAAGATGCTTGGGTATTTTCCCAAGCTTTCGGAGTGCTTGGTTCTCGGCCCATACACTCCTATTCCAGTTCCTTCTATGGTTTTGGAACCGTCCGTATACCAATCAATAGCACGTCTTTCGGTTGCAAGCGCGATGGATTCTTGGTTCCATTCTTTCTTGCAGTCCAGATTTGTGGTTTTGAAGTTTTTCACAAAACTGTACTTCTTTAGCATTTCATCCTGGAGCATGTCCTAGGTATCTTTAGTCCTGAAGCAAGTAGACTTTCGTCTGATTACTCCGTTCCTGATCATTCTATATCCTGTCATTTTTGCCACATTCATCGAATGTAGAGGGGTGAGGTTTAAGATCACCTCCATTGCGGCCGTAGGACAGGTTCTCATTGCACCAGTAATGCAAACCCAGGCTAGTCTTTGTACTTTTGAGATATTAGCTCCCGTAGTAGCTAAACTAGTTCTGTTACTCCAGGCTATAGCCCCGTAAGTGACGATTGGTCTCATTATTGCAGTCTACATCCATCGCAGTATGTTTACGTTACATCCCCATCGTTCCTGCATACCAATTCCTGCACTAAAATTATCTGTAAAGTTACCTAAGAATTTTGCATATATTTATAAACCTCTACTTTATTTGATTGTAGAAGCACACTGGTCTATTTTTCTTTTCTGTTTTTATCTTGAAAATAACAATGTTAGTTTTCTTTGCATTTAAGATTAATTTATTTTTTATTTATTAACTAATAGAATTGCGACAACATTGACTTACTCCTACCTCTATCACAACAAATTTACAATAAATAATAAACAACAATATACTAAACTAAAAATCTATAATACCTATAAAAATCTGTAAAATGCTATAAAAATCTGTAAAATTCTATAAAAATCTGTAAAATTCTATAAAAATCTGTAAAATTCGATAAAAATCTGTAAAATTCTATAAAAATCTGTAAAATTATATAAAAATCTATAAAAAATTTAAAAAATCTATAAAAATCTATTTTTGGTGACAACATTGACCTCTAGCAGTTAACGTACGAACCTCATAATTGATTTGACTCCAGGAACAGCCAGTTTTTGTTCGCATCTTTTCAATTTACCCTTTATTTTTTACAATTTTACATAAAACAATAATAATAAGCACAACTATAAAATAAATAATAAATATAACAATATGCTGTAGATACCAAAATTCAATTATCAATCCTGCATTTTTTTCTTTTAGTGTTGACTGATACGCCTATTAAAATGAGTAATATTCATTACAGTATTTAATCACTTTATGACTCCGTGAAGTAAATACCATTAATAATTAGGAGTTACTTATAATGGAGGTGTTTATCTGTAATCCTTGGCTATTTGGATGATTAAATGGAAATCATTTTAAAAGATTTCCTTTTGGTCTCGTACTGAAATATTATTAATGGTTTTAGAGTTAATGTTACTAATTATTCTCTAAAGCTTGGAGTAGTTAAATACGGTTTTCTAAATGTGTATAATTCGTTCTCCCAATTCATGTTTATTTAAAACTAATTAATTTTGTTAAATTAGACTATTTCCCAAAGGTTTTAGTATTTAATCCTCTAATAATATTAGTAATAATTTGTTTCGAAATATCAAATTATCACACATGAATTCCTTACTGTTTCTGGAATTTTATTAATAGCAATTTATATCCTACTTATTATTGCATTTTTTGTATGAATAAATATTATTATTATTATTATTATTATTATTATTATTATTATTATTATTAAAAAGAGAATATATAATCTGGATGAATTTGAGACTTCTTTTGACATTTTTCTTTATTAATTATTTTGCACATTATTTTTTCCGTTTGTCCTCAATTCAGTTTCTTTTTGTAATTATCCTAAAAGGCCTTATCCTTAAACCAAGTAAATGAACACATCAACATAAAATATTAACGCAAATAAGTCTAAGAAAAAAATTTCATTAGAAACCGTGGCTGTGTCTGTAGCTACGGATGTGGCTGAGCTTCAAAGAAATTTATTATTTATGAAAAATGCCTACATCACAATCCGCAAGAATTCAACGAAAATCTCTGGAGACCCGAGATAACATCGACCACTCACTTTGATTATGTCATATTTTTCTCTCATATACTCTCTCTATGTGTACTTGGTAAGAGGTTACTTGCTTTCTTCTTGTTGGATTTATATTCGAGTTAAAATATGATTTGTGGAGTTCAAGATACGTCGAACAAAACATAAAAAAATCTTTATCTCTAGTGATATGATGTGTATAATAAAGATGGAACGAATGAAACAAAAAATATAGTAGAATTGAGAGGTGGGAATAAAAAAGTGAGCACTAAAAGTCATGAGTAAGAAGAAACAGGATAAAGAAATATGAAAGAAGATTAGGCCACCACGGGCACACTATTTTCAGAAGTTCCTGCGAGATGGCCCTACAAGGTGACAGCAATAATTGACGTTAACGAGTATAAGTGAACGAATAATATACAAAACCAAAAAAGAATATGCTTTTATCTCCGTTATTATTAATTTAATTTGCACGAAATAAACGAGACTATGAAGAGGACGTGACGTAGATTACCGTTGAAGAGAAAAATCATACGCAGTGGTAAAGCCAAAAGGGCTTTAGTTAATATCTGCGCTATTATTAGTCCGATTTACATAAAATTAACGACACTATAAAAGAGAAGTGGCATAGATTAACGTTAAAGAGAAAAAACATGCGCAAGAGCAATGCTAAAAAGACGTTAATTAATATATTTGCTGATAATAAACATAATTTAAACAACACATATGATAAAGGGAAAGATGACATTATAAGTCATTAAAAGAAAAAATAAAAGTTATAATAAAAATAAATTGGAAACAAAATGTATGAGAACAGAAAACATATGATAAATATTTAGTAATCAAACTTGGAATGAAAATAGAACATTTTGCATTTAAATTGAAAATAATTGTCTCGAAACCAAACAACACATTCGAACAGCATTAAAATAAATAAATATATTTATCGCTGATACACAATTCTCTGCTCAAAACTTTGCTTTACAAAATAAGGTGCTTCGGGACATTAGGTCCTGAAGATATGGTTATAACTATAGCAGCCTTTCGGCAAGAGTTTCTGGCAACGGCCCTTTTTTTTCTCCTGGGCTCGCCTGACTATGTGTCTCCGAATAACACTGAATCCTATTGGCTTATTGGGTTTTACCCCATGTTAGTTCATAGCACCCACTCTGTCACCTTTGTACCTTGTACAAGTTTGTACAGATCCTTGGGTGAGTGGGTTCTATACGTTGTTGGATCAACCTGGGGTTGTCCAAAAAGAACCTGTCTTTTGCGATCTAGAGCTTCGCATTCGCACAGTATGTGTGGCCGTTTCTGGTTTTTTGTGACATAGTCGGCACATGAGTTCCCCATTGTACATGCCAATTTTGTTCAAGTGTCCCTTTACTGGGGCGTGCCCAGTCATGAACCCTGTAATCACTTTCAACTGGTTCCTATTCATTAAGTAGTTCTCCAGTTCTTTTGGGACATGGTCTGCCTATGAAGGCTTTTCCATGTGACTGTTTTGGGGTGCTTCCCCAATAGTTGATATGTTGATCACGAATCCAGTCGTTTATGAAATCCCGGACTGTACTTTTTGGTACTCCTGGGTTTGTGTCTGGTTCCGGTATTTCTTCTGACCCTTTTTTTTGCAAGTTCGTCAGCCTCTTCGTTGCCTTCGATCTCTTGGTGACCTGGC